AATTTTAGACGTCACATTATAATATTGTTAAATAGATTACCGGATTTGACTTGTCTCGTTGGTTGAGCGGTAGTCGTTAGTAAGCCTATCAAGAATTAAACTTTACTCTGAAGTCTGTCGCGGAGAACCTAACGGGTTACCGGGGCTCCGGCTCGACGTGCAGGAGAAGGAACGGGGTGGTTTTTAGTCAGTAAGAGTCTGACACTTCCTTCCGCCTCACCCAGGCGGGAGCAGTCATTCGATGATTTTCCTCCCTTAATACTATGAAGTCTATTGCTTCCACTCTAAGTTATTTTCTTTTTCATGGGATTCATTTGAAAAAGGCACGCCATAAATAGGTATTTTTAAATTATGTTTGGACCTCTACAGTATTCTATAAGTTCTCGAATACACATCAGTTGCAAAATATCCGTAAGTACAGAGATTTCTACTAGTTTTGTTAGCACGCATGCATTCTCGTAGCGGCAGTAATTCACAACGCAAGTGTGGCGACGGCTTTATGTAGCCGTCAGCAGAAGTGTGGACGCGATATTTGTGGGGAATGGCTAAGTAGCCCGGGGTACATATCTAATGCTGACATCTTATTTAGAATTCACCTGCATCGTTGCAAAGCAAACTAGTGGAAGTGGAAAAGAATATTTATTTTAAAATGGTTGTATCTATACTAATATTATAAAGAGGAAAGATTTGTACCTATTTTTGTATGTTTGTAATGAATAGGCTCAAAAAGTACTCGGCCGATTTAAAACATTCTTTCACCAATAGAATGCCACATTCTTCCAATTTGACATAGGCTACATTTCATTTTGAAAAAAATTAGGGATCCTTGGTAAAATTTGAACAATGTAACCGAAGGTGTAGAAAAATGAGTCTTAAAATGTCTTTCGTCGAATGCGCTGCCGAAACTATTAGCGATAGAACAAAATAATGTACAACAATATTGAAGAACATCATAATGTCTACAAAAAACTTCGCGGTAGCATATGACCAATTATTGTAGTTATGTCACTACAACAATCCAAATTTCCAAAAATAAATAATTGTCTACCCTGTGCGAAGCCGGGACGGGCTGCTAGTATTTTCTATATTGGTTTTCATATTTGTTTGTTGTTATTTTTGCACAGTTGGTGACTGGGTACTTACTACTGAATTTATAAGTATCATAATATAATCGGAGTCTGAAGTGCTGCTGAATGAAGGCCTATTCCAAATAAAAGGCTTGCCATGATCACCGCGCACTGCAAACTGACTTGGAGATTTTGGATTTAAAGATTTGTTCCTAATTTTTTTTCTTTTCTAATGCTGGTTGGCCGAGTGGTCGCAAGTGCAATTATTGGGTAAGGGGTCTCGGGTTCGATTCCCGGATCAGGCAACGTACTACTGGGTTTTTTTTAAAGAAATCTCAATAGTGCCCGGTATATGCCAATAGGCTTACTCCCTAATTACATGAGACTCATAACGTAAATCGTGAGAAGTGGGTGTTATATTGTATAGTGGCATTAAGTGCCATAATATGCACTTCTACCTACCCCTCCGGGGTATAAAAGGCGTGATGTCGTGTTATGTTATTTTTTTCTTGAATACACAAATATTTCATCGTAGTAGGTACCCCTACGGTTCACCAGTTAAACAAATAAATAAGATCAATATTTTCCTAAATAAGGAATACATTTTGGTAGGATAGCCTACCAAAATGTATTCATGGAAAATATGTACAAAACCGTTGAAATTAATTTAATATTTTTGTATGTATAATGGCTTTATTTAAAGCAAGTAAATTAACTTTTTAATTTCCAAAAAGAAGTTAATTAATTGCAGATTGAGCAGCCACCTGTTACGTTGAACTTAATTTGCTTCATCATTGTGAAGTTTATCTTAATTTCGTAAAATTATAATGTTGTGTGAGGGACTGTCTTAAAATAGTAAAATCATCATCGCTTATTGCTATTAGATTACACGTAACTAGTAATTCTTTCATAAACTACGCTTAAAAAACCTATTTATTACCCCTCTTTTTTTAAATCTATTGATTATTGTACTAAAACCTTCTCTTAAGAGTAGGTACAGAGTAAACACTTTTATGGAAACCGCAACAAAATCGGTTGAGCCAATCGCGAGATAATCCCTCACAAACGTACATACACACATCATACATAAGTACATACATACAGGTCAAACAGAGATCCTCCTCTTTTTGAAGTCGGTTAAAAAGTTGATGTTTTATAGGTACACATTAAGCGCTTTTAAGATAAGGATACACTAGGAGGTAAATATCCCGAAATATGTATCGTTGACACATAAAACGAAGCCGGCCGATTTCGCTTGATATTATACGGCGACAATGCGCGACTTATATGTCCACAGCGACGTTGATGTTGCCATGCATGTCGACCAAAGTCCGCTCTACTTCACTACTTAATGTCGCTGGCGACACGTGTAGCAGGATAATTTTCCCCTAGTGTATCCTTAGATTTAAGCTTTAGATCTTTCTGGAAAACAAATTTTCAAAATATTTAGGCGTCCATCAATTGATTAGCTACAGAAGTTATATCTACGTTTTGTTTTAAGTCACTTCAGTCAGATTAGTCAGGTATAAAGGCCATGAAACCTTCATTGAGACTAAAGCCCATAGAAAGGGCATACCAACCTGACAACAAGCGAACAATTTGTTAGCTCACATCAATTAGAATATTCTAATACTACTTTGATGTTAGTGTTAAAAACTAATTTGGCTAGAAGCGAGGCTGAGATCGGGAGAGGTCGGCTAGGATCGGAAAAGGTCGGCAGGTCGGACTATCGTAAGTCAGATAATGTTTACTTAAGACCAACTTGCCGAGCGTAGATAGTGCCTATCTTCAAGGATACTCGAACAAAAACAACGGCCGCAGGCGTTTATTGTTACAAGCCCCGTTCATTATACATAGTTTACTTTGTTATATTAATTTCGTGTTGCGGTTTTTGGGTCGAAACGGAGCAGTATAATGGTAATTCCCCATTATATTTAAGGTTATTTAACGTTGGTGTTCCTTCTTGTTGCGTAGATTAGTGGGTAATGAGGACTTGTTTACGCTGCTCGTTAATTCACAGCGTTAATTAACTGAACATTATTTTTTGATGAACTCACTGTTAGGTGTAGTGGCTTTTGTTACAATTGGTTATTTTGTGACTTTTTTGTCGTCTGTGTGTGACAGTAGTAGTACTCCTTATACACACATGTAAGGAGAGCGTGTATTTTTTACCATCTCTCGAATTTAGATCTTACTGTTGACGTCCTAGTGATCAATATAATTAAGGATCCGGCATTTCTCGCTCGCTAGATAACACTAGATAAACACGCCTGTCATTTTCAGACATATCATTTCATAATACAAACAATCCTCTTATGGATCCATAATAAAAGCAGCCACAATGGTATTTCAATTAAACAAACAAGATAAGTGTGCGGCTCGTATCCATGACAGACAATTATTAGTGCCAACAAACGATACGGTGGAGCAAACAGATTTCCGTACATCCATCAAGGCACTAGCAATATGCCGTGTCAATAAATACGACATTCATTCGATACGAGGATCCAACGAACGCGAGCGTCACTGTGTGCTGCCTCTAATTTATCGAACCCAACATTCGTTCAAACAAACAATTCGAGACATGTAATGCCAGCCATCTGTATGTCTGTATGGTATGCTCAAATCCCTGCACGCTATATTGATATTAATTGGACGACACAGAAACCGCTCGGATGGGACCAACAACAGATTAATAAAGGACGAACTCGATTGTAGGAATTCCCTTTGTGAGTTTGTGATACAAACGTCAAATAAATCCAAATGAACGGAGGTATTTTAGGAGATTCTTTATTTCTTTTAATTCACCTGATCAAATTGAATACTTTTGATTTATGTTCGGGAGTGGTGTGTGATTATAAAGTCAAATGAGACGAGTAACAATCGTTTTCGAGTAGGTACTCTCAAGAAATAATCGATGAGCCCTCAGCCGTGGATCCGACTGGTCTGATATTTTGTAAGTGGAGTAATTTTCTATTACATTGGTTAAAGTGGTCTTACTTCTGAGATAAGTGGTCTGGCTAGTTTAATCATTATTCACCGTGCTCTGGTAATAAGTTTAAGTATATTTATCGTCTTTTATACTGCTGGCAAGTTAATTAAGCAAGGACACAGGAGTCGGTCTGCGCTCAGAGCTTTTCAACGTTGAATTCAGCGTTTTTTAAGTAGCATTTTCTGTAGTCAATGGTTTCTTAAAGCGATAGAGACATTCAAGTACTCGTCGTTTGTGACTTGACTCTGTAATTTCAATTGGATCGCTCTGTGAAATTATTTCTAGTTCAACGAGCGTTTAGTTTTAGATTTATTATACTGGGAATTTCGGTGACCTTTAAATTAATTATGAAAACTGATTCCTATTCAAATTCATTTACCAAAGTCTACGTATACATAGGTAGGGCGTACCTTTCATGTTTCGCGATTTATTAAACAATCGTTTAACAAGCAGCTGTATATTGCATGTACTTCAATAAAGGGTATGTGTGCTCTGTTTTTTATTTTTATTGCCAATTAAACAATTAACCCGTCGAGAGCCACAAAGGAATGGGGCTCCCCACTGTGCGGGGCGAAATTTTATACTCATTGAAGGCGTATTGTGGTGAATTTAGGGTTTGTTCTCTCTCCGGTTCGTGAGATGAAAGCTTTGGACTCGTGAATGATTCCCATAATATATTTCAAAAATAAGGCTGCCTCACAGCTGGGTACAGAGTGCAGACGCAAATTAGGTCGCGCTTATGCACTATTGTATTCATCTTATGTACGTTTATTTTGCTTGAGCGTGTGAAATCCATGTTTCTTATACCTCTACTATGTCTTTTTAAAATGTCTTTATCTTAGTGGTTCTATTATTTTAATAACATTTGTGTCTTATTGGATCCTTGTTGCTATTTTCGAGTATGAAATAAAAACCAAATACATTTTTTTAAATTTATTTAATAAAAATCTCTTTTGACTTGAACACGATCACTAAATTACAGACAGTTAAAGAAATATTATTTCATGTAACATTGAGATTATTTTACGTCGTATCAGTCGAGCTTAGAATAATAATAGTTACACAGACTCCCTCACTGACTGATAAAATGAAAATTTACATTATTACTTATCTATTTACATTTCTCTTGTGATTGGTAAATTATATTCTTAATTACTATGGTAGCGGTTCACTCTACGTCTATATGTTGTAAGTACTCGCTCAGATTACCTGTGAAACTGTCGTTTTGTACATGAAATTACAATTTAATATGTAATGACCTTTTATTAACGTTAAACATTTAAGTATACACATGATAAAAACATGACAAGAGTCTGTATAACATTTATAAGTGCAGTAAATTACAGGAAGATAATTTTATGAACGAAACAACATGTGTGCATCGAGATCCTTATTACGAAATCACAAACAATTACTGGCAACATGTGGCGTAGAGTGAAAGCCGTTCAGTTTATTTATGTTTGTAAATCAGCACGCATAGTAATTCCCATATGTCAAATCTGTACACGTAAAGCCGGTGCTCCATTTGAGACGCCTCGAGCTAAGCGGATGCCTCGAATACAAACGACGCCTCGCGCCGAGGTACGCAAATGTAATGGATCAACCACTTAATACCAAAATACTACTATAAAGGCATGTGTTCCGATTCAACACCGAGTTACACATACAAGAATGAATCACTATCATCACAATAATATCCCACGAAACAAAACACAACATTACTGATATTTTATTCAAATTCTTATTTACGAGGACACTCAACTGTTTACGAGAAATGCATGTAAAATATAGTTAAAGCGTACGATTGTGACTGTATACATACATTCATATTTATTTACATAAATTATAAACCAAATAGTGCACCATATTTTTCGCATGTATTTACAAAATATACAACTATCGACTAACAATTATTAACAATAGTTTTACCGAATGAGATAAACGTTTAAAACTTTTATGAAACAAATGAATTTACACATAGTTGTATGTTGGAAATAAATAGATTGGACCTTACAATTCTTGTAGCTCGGGTCATGAAGTTATTTACACGATCAGTAAATAACACAGTGACAGCTGTTCCAGTAATGTTATATCAAGCACCATGTTTTGGGCAAAGATCTGTAGCTTTTAGAGTTATAAATTTTCTTATATCGAATTACTTTTATATCTAATATTTTTGATATAGAAAAATCGCAGATAAACGCCAAACTGGTAGACAAAACTGAAGTATTAGCTAACATGGCAGCTTCATATCATTTACAAAATCGGTTTCAACTTTGTCAGCCTTTTCATGTACCTATTAACTACTAAAAATTGATAAGTAACAACAATGTAGTCATTACGTTTCTATGAAACGATCGTTATAACAATACGAATAATTAATTTAGGCGTTTCTATCACTTCGACGTATACTCTCCTCGCTTGTCCTACAGTAACATTTCAATGTCTGTTCACTATATTTACACTGGGTACACCTTCGAACAGTTTGTCTTTGAGACTCGCTGAGGTGTCGACAATCTAATGGCGCCCGTTGTCGGGCTCAAATGGAATGTTTCTGTTCAGTGTGACACGATCGATTTAAGAAAAATATCTTTCGTATTATGTGTTCAGCGTTGTCCTGCGGCGTTGAGGAGTCCCTCGGAGGAGTTGGAGGCGGGAATGCCGCGGGGGACTGGCCCCTCAGCTCTGTGCTAGGGAATCCAGCGGCACCACCAGTTTTCCGTTGGAGTAGCTGTAACAAAAGATGTCTATTGTAATTTTGAACCATGACCAGTCCGCAATTTAATTTTCTTTTGTTTATTTATAGTTGAAACTAGTTGCTATGCATGTTTAAGTTAGGTCAATGAACGGAACAGTAAGTAATAAGTAGTTATTAACCTGTATGGTATAGTGGCTGTTCTGGATTTAGCTCTGCTTGGCCTACACGCGTCATCTGCAACCAAGACATTTGAATGTGAACGATTTTAAATGGTATGGTCTTCTTTGTAATGAGCGTTTGTCTTGGCGGATAAAATGGAAACTTTCCGCTTGTTCATAGTTTATATCGTATCGACGAGGTTTAATTAAGTGGTAGCGCACGCTATTGTCTCGGCTCTTGCGGAACAATACTTATCTTAAGCCGAAGTTAGTAGAAGTAATATCTGCGATACCTTAATGAGGGAACTTTGTATCGACTTCGTTAATCGTTTCTGACCCGACCGATTCGATCTGTTCCACCTTTATCATTTTAAGTAGTTTTGTTTGTTTAAAATTACATTGTTAAGTGTACAATTGTGCTGTGTATTGTTATGGAATGAAAACAAAAATAAATAAAATAAAATTAGGTTCATGAGTTTCTCTAAGAGAGATAAGTTTTTGAATGGACGCGCCTTTGCCAATTAGTGGGTATTTAATATGCATTACTGGTAGAAAGTTATCAGTCGAGGGAGCCAGTGTACTTTCTGCCAGCAAAGTGACTAGTGTGTTGGCGGAGAGCCTTACCGTAGAGCGGCTAACATCGTTGTGAGAGGCACGCATCGCATTTGACGGGCTCGGCACGCCGCTTGCCCTGAGAGCCCTGCGAGCCGGACTTACGCCGGAAAGTGTACCTAACGAGCAGACCTGCAATGCAAAACGCCGCACCGTTAACAAAACAAACAACTAAACCAAAATGAAAACAACAAACACAGAGCCACGCACGCGCGTCCATCTGAAAAACGCCTATGGGCGGACGAAAGCGGGCCAAAATAAAAAATAAAAGAAATGATGCTCTCAGAGTTTTCATGACTTGATACCGCTAGGATTCATTCACGTTTTATGGGAGAATGAAACTTTATGCATTTCTGTATAGGATTTATGTTTATACTACGTTGTGTGTCGTGGAACTTCCTAAGTGGCGACGACGAATGTTTCGAGTATGTGCTTATGTTTCAAGTTTAGTTTGAGCTAAATACAGAAGTTATGAACTCATTATAAACTAAGACAATGCTAACATTCTAAAGTAACTACAGACTTAAACGTTTACATGCTTTACTAGAAAATGAACAAATTAAATGATCTTACTAAATAATGATAATCGTAATCTTACCAGTTAATCCGGCTTTGTTGATGCTGTTAGAACTAGAGAAACCTGATATTTTCTTCCACGCCTTTTTGTTCCAAAACCCGCTAGCTTTGGCATCTCCACAGCTGGAACTACGTGGAGATGGTATGTCCTTGGGACATCGCAAGCCACACTCTTCAGCACCGAGGATCCGCACGCCGGCTCCACGTGTGCCGTACGCCACAGCAGGCAAGTGCGGCACTGATCCCGTCGGTTTACGGCGCAAACTACCTACATAACTTGCCCCGCTACTGCTGCCACTAAACCCGCTGTCTAAGTCTGGTGGATTACAACTTGCCGGCGAGAGTAACTCGTCCGTCGGACCAACTCGCAACAATTCCTCGATATTGTCTCTGTCTTCTGCACGCTCTGAATCGGGAGATTCGCATTCCGGCATCAGCATTGCTTCTACACTAAGATTCAATTCGCCCAAAATTCGTTTGTGCCTCGATTCTACCCGACGAACTTCCTCCTCGACAACACTTCTATCTAAAGAAACTAGTGACTGACGTGGCGCGTATCGATGTTTGGGACACGTTCTAGAGCCATCTGTGATTTCTTCATAAATGTTCTCTTCAGTGCCATATCTAGTGACATAGTTGTGTCGAGATGACCGATCTCGCGGTATACCGCCTCTACCTCGCTGACGGTTTACTTTTCTTGATGATGAAGGCATTGATAGGTGATGGTCGTAGTAAGCATAAGAGTAATCAACTGGTTCAAATCGTTCCATAGTTGCCGCAATATTGCTCCTGTTCCAGGTCTGAGGTGGAGGCTCTCTTGATAGATTGACTGCGGCGAGCCTCGCTGGAAGGATTTCATCCAGATCTCTGGCACATCGTTCATCAAGTGACTGTGCACCATCGTCTTCCTCGCGCCTGTGTTTCCTATGCGGTCGACGTGATGTTTGTGAGCGTCCGTGTGCTCGGTCACAGTCCGATCCATGGCCATGATTGTAATCAGGTGTGTGGCTACGATTGTAATCAATAGGCCTGTGCTTGCAATCAAGCGTATGGTGATAATCAGGAGTATGCCTCAAACTGTAGCTGGAATTTCCTTCAAAGTCCGAGCGATCATAAGAAGGGCTGTCATCAGCATTGCTAGTATGAGCATGGGGACAGTCGGCAGCGATGCCGGATTCTGAGGACGGGTAGTCGTGAACCTCTGCTGTGACGAACGACTGCTGCACGTGGTCGTCTGGTCGCGCGGGTTCTGATGTGGCATGGCGGTGATGAGGGCGCGGCCGCGTGCTCTCGCGGCAGCTGGCGAAGGTCCGCTGCAGAGTAGGAGGGTGTGGGTACCGTCCACACCGACTGTCGTACACCGCCTCCCCGGGCTCGTCGGGGCTCGGCGGCGCGCTTCGTGATTCCATGGCTCATCCTCTCATATCCAATTAGTACCTGTAAAAAATGAAAGAATATTAATATTTTTTGACGCAACATTAGGCATAAATATGAAATATTTTTCTTTTTAATAAAAGTCACGGACCGAGTACGGTAGCGGAGCCGAGGGCAATGAATCCGAAATTACGTGCTGCGTGATAAGGGTAGGGTAAGTGACGATCAACAGAGCAGCCGACGTCGATATATCATCATCAGTCGCCCGGGTAATAAATCGGGGACTTTGTGCCGTGTTTACATTTTGTATGGCAGATTTTTAGAAGCTTTGTTGTTTGGTGATACGCGGCGTAATGTAAGGTGTGCGAATTAAGAGTGATGTGGATATATTAGAAGACAAATTCATAGTATAATAACATATCATTTGCTTGACGTGTGAATATAAATGTACAGACATTCATATTTCTCAATAAAATGCAAATAATGTATGACTTCATTCGATTTATTGCCCACAAACACAGTAAACTATCATAACCGAATTCAAAAATCAGCATTTTTATTGCGTCTCGCTCGGATGTTATTGCACGAATTCCAGACCAATTTATTACTATAACGATAAGTGTCCGTGAACTAGTGGCAAGGGCGGGCGTCGGGACGCGACACCCTCGGTTTCCATGGCAACAGGGCCCCGCGGTTTATCGCGTCGCTTCCGCCCGATATTCCTTGCATCTAAATCATCATCAGTGCTGGGAAGCGGATCGTAAAGAGCCCGTTGACCGTCCATCCGCTATAATTTGTTACATAGTCCGCCATTGCATCGCTTGGGATTTGGGCTTGTATTGCCCAAACGACGTTCTATGCCAAGCTTTGGTATAACGTAATTTTCGGGACACTTTTGTGGCCACGTGAGCACAAAACATCGTTTCATTTTATAATATTCTTTCCTCATACTAAAGGTGCGATCGTCAACGTGGTAAACAGAATGAAAAATATTCTTTACATAAAAAAAAAAACGAATTTCACTGTCAATGTGGAATTATATTTGGTGACAGAACGATACATTACGATTGCGTTCCCATACGCCGCTTTGTAAGCACATTTTTAGCTCCCCCTTTCTCCGTCCCCTAAGCTTTAAGAATATATTACGTTCTGTGAGGGTTAAAAAATCATGCAATGTACATAACAGCGTCGTAATTGCAATAAAATTTATTAATGTAACAGAGTATAACTGACACTAATTGCCGTCTTTAATTTATGGGGATTAAAAATGTCCATTAAAACGTGGCACGTACACTTAAACAGTAATATAGTATGTTATGGAACTAATATAATATGTTTTTAGGTCATGTTGTGAGATTTGGTAGAGCTTTCCATGTAAGTAATGTTTTAAAAGTAGATAAAGTAATGAGATATTTGTTTTGTACCATTTTACCATTCTGTCTATAATAAAATAAAAACTGCGTTTAAAAAACCGACTTCAAAAAACCAAAAACTAATAACAAACAAAAAGTAAAAACTAAAAAGCAAAAAATAACTAGGTATTAACAGTACTGATAGGTTAGAAGTCGGCGCCATAAGTTCCATACAAAACCTTAATAGATATAGTTATCATTATGATATGAGCTTAGGATGCCAACATCAGATCCTGACCTTATGGAAATGGGATCATCTCGGGAGTATGTATGTGAGTATTTCAAACAAAACAAGAATTTATCTTGGAAATCGGTTCACAAACGGCGGAGTAATCGGTGAACAAACAAGAAAAAAAAACTAATCAGCCGAACATAGTACCTCCTCGTTTTTTTGAAATCGGTAATAATTTACGAATGTTTAATTGATAAACACACCGAATAGTATACAAGTAACTTAAACTACACATAGAACTAAGTCTGATTGTAGTTTAAAAATGTCTTAAATCTAAGTCTAACAATACGATTTCTAAAACTACAGCTAAAGAAATACTTTTCAACCAAGTCTCAGGTCAACGTGCTTGCATTAAAACGAAATGATACCTACACCTAGAATTCAGTTAGAAAGAGACAAACGCTGACATTAAAATCAAATAAGCACTAGCTGCGCCGTACCTAACCAAAGTAATAATTTTGCTGCATTAGAGTAATCACCATCCATCAGGAGGCGATAAAATAATAAGTGTTTCATTTTCTATGCACCCCACACCAGCCATCATTATAAATAATAAGTTTTTTGTACAGTGGACTCATGTGGTCTCTACAATCACAATGATAGTAACTTTTTAACAAATTACTTCCTATAACCTAAGCCATAAGGTCCCTTTTCCTACTTTAACACCATCGTCCATGTTAATCGGTGTCTGTCCTTTTTTCCACTCTGGATGGTGTTATGTGGTATTGACAAATTGTTGATTAATATGAAATGTGATGTTTTTACGCGATTAAGATTGTATTCGTTTGAGATTGTTGTTGATAGTGTTCGTTTGAAAAAATGTGTTCTCTTTGTTAAGAGCTTAGTTGGAGTTTACTTGTGGGGTACAATTTTAATAAACGTTCGAATGATAGGTAGGTGTCAAGTTTATGGAGTACTAGCTGTAGCCCGCGACTTCGGCCGCGTAGAATATGAATTTTAGGACATAACAATTTATAAGTTTCAATTTGCCAAAATAAAAATTGGCTTTATTAATGCTTAGTACTTACATCAGCTACCTGCCAGTAAAAGTTTCATTAAAATCGGTCCAGCCATTTCAGAGATTGGCCAGTATAAACAGACAAAATTTAGAAACAAATTATTTTGGTTTAGGTGTCGTAAGTATATTATGTGCATGTAGTAAAAGGCGGTTATTTCAATATTATTTATTTATTTTAGGTACATACATGAAAATAATTTATTTTTCTTTCTTTAAAAAAAACAAACGCCTTTCTATACCCGTTGCAGTATCTTCTAGAAAGTTCCAGTTCGTTGCACTGAAGGCTAATTATTTATGTATCAAATACCGTCCCAGTGTCTGGTGACTCAATACTTAGGTGACGACCTAATGAAAGCTTGTCACGTTCTAATTTGTCGCTAACTAACTAACTAGCTACTCTATGATTGACTTGGCTTGAATTATTACACAATTGTATGGCTTTCGATGATTGTTAATCGCAGTACACAAGACAAGACGTAGATTAGCTGAACCCTCCGTCCCGTTTAAAGAGGTTGATAGGTTTTTTTTTAAATAGTCATATCAGTTAATTGCTGTAGTGGTCAACAGAATTGATTTTACATTGATATACTTGGTAGGCAGTCAGTCCTTTTCATTATTAGCTTGCGTATGTACTACGTATGCAATAAGAAGTAGCTTGAAGTTAAAGTCAAAGTCAAAATCAAAATCATTTGTTTCAATTAGACCAGAAAGGCACTTTTGAACGTCAACAAAAAATTAAAAGCGAAGCTATTTGCTCATTCCAAGGTGTAGCTTCCTACGGAGCCGCGGAAGACTTAAAGGGTTGCCAGTGCTCCGGATCGAAGTGCAGGAGTGGGAACAGGGTGGTTTTTTGTCAGTAAGAGTCTGACACTCCCTCTCGCCTCATCCGGGAGAAGTCATCTGATGATTTTCGCCACTCAAAAAAAAGGTGTGGATTCCTATGGAGAAGAACAAGCAAGAAACTCCATAGGATTTTTTTTCAATCAGGTTCACAATACAATTCTCTAGTTACATAGATTTGTTGTTTAGATTGTGCGAGAACAATGTAACACTAAAATCCAGTCAAACTGAACTCAAATTCCTTATAAGAGATCTAGTAAAAGAAGACTTATTGCCAAAAACTCTCAAAAATAATTTCGTGATCAAGCAAAGAAATGGTTTAAAATTGAAATTCTATACGCTTTTTTGTATCAGTATCGGCATGATAAGAATTAGTCCCAAAAATGTTTCGATATTTATATCTTTGCGCCAGATGTCATGTTCTGTCACAGATAGATCACGTTTTACTTATTTATTTAAGGAAACCATATTTAAAGTAAGCAAATACATTCCTATATTTAGGTAAACCATTTTGATTGATGGGTAAGGGTTAAACAGCTTATCTATATGTGTTAACAGATACTATTTAAAAACGTAAAGTAATTTTTTATACGTTGTATGGTTTTGTGTAACATAACATCACGTCTTTTATTCCCGAAGGGGTAGGCACATTACGGCACTTAATGCCACTATACAATGTAACACCCTCTTTTCACTATTTATGCATAAGTCCCATGTAATAGGGGGAGAGCCTATTGCCATACCGGGCACATTTCCAGACTCCGTGCTACTACTGAGATTTTCAAAATCCAGTAATATTTTGCCCGACCCGGGAATCGAACCCGAGACCTCTTGCCATCGCCCGGCAGTCGCAAGTGCGACTTGTGTTTTGTGTTCGTATAGGTAAACGTTTAATAGTCTTATTTTACATAATATACAGAAAAGTACCTATCAAATAGATGATCAAACCAGTGTTGTACTGATTGTAGGCTTCAGACTGAAAATGACATACAAATTTCCTTGCAAGGAGACAAAAATCACGAACTTGGTCAACACTACAAACAATTCAAACACAGAGACATTGTCTTCAAAGACTGTACACAATATGTGTGTTCTATGATAAACTATTACGTATTTCAGAAGGTACCAAAATCATGTAACACAGTGTAATTACTATGTTTAAAAACGCAAAAATCTGAAGCGGGTAAAGTGTTCCGAATATGTTCGTTATGCATCGAAATAAATTATTATCTGCACCAAAGGCAGCCGCTGTGGTTTGCTAACCAATTAAAATTTTATCCATCGATACATTGCTGGGTTAATTTTATAAGTTGGTTCACTGTTGGTAGTTATAGGAACTATGTATGTATAGGTTTTAAGTATTGATAGAGTATTTGAGGTATATGTTTACTTTGTGAAGACCTCTTTAATTTAACAGTCTTTGTAGAATGACTGTTGACGAATGGTTGGATGCTTAGGATTTTTATAAATGTATGTTGCATAAGACCGGATTAAGTTAACTATTACGATTGTTATTATTAAGACTTTTTATTGCTATAAAATCTGAACGGTCTGTAGTTTT